CAGAGGGCTTAGGGCGTAGTGTTCACGGTTTATGGGTTCTTTTGGGATCCCCCCCAAACAAGTTTTCCCGTACTCGATTGGGGGCCCCCCGTTTATTCCGATCCGGACTTGTTGGGGGGGGGAGTGGGCTTCATAATCCGAATCCGACATTAGGTGCCCCTACTTTTGGAACCCCCTAGTAGTTTCTGGTGCTCGGCCTTTCTGGGAGACTGAGGCCGACAAGCCAAAGGCTGCTACCCGTCCAGCCAAATGACGCTTTGTATGGTTTACCCTTCGAACGAACAGGGGTAGAATTCTCTGGTGGGATACTACAGCCTCCAAAAAGGGCAAGATCATTATCTCCTTGTGGTTGATGATTAAAACACCACTCACATGGAGGTTTTCCAAAACAGGGTACCTGAGGTACAAAAGGAAGGCATTACAGAGGGATCATTGTGAGAATCTCGGACATCGCGCAAAGGGTTTCCTCACAGCCTACTGTCTTTCTAAGGAAGGGTTTGTAGGCAGTTCCACGTCAGTTCAGGAGAGAGCGTAGGTTATGGAATTCACTGACTGGGTCATGAAGGATCTCAGAACCACAGATTACTGCCAACTTTTCAACACATTGCGGATGATAGTCAATGAAGTGCAAGTCTGAAGAGCCCCCAAGTAGCCACCTGCCGCAGTTCATGAGGATTGTAAATCTCTTTAGCTTTTGATTACTTGACAACTCATGGGAAGTCAACGGTACCTGATATTATCAGGTGCCTGATTAGAGGAGGTACCTCCAAAAGAGTTCTCCCAGTTTTAGTCACACACACTATTCAGGGTTAGGGAGTGTTTGTTGCATTCACGGCGAACGAAGAAGGAAGTGCATTCAGAGTGGGGTATAAGTCGCAAGACCGAGCCGGAGTTTCGGGCATCAGCTTCACTTGCAGGTATTTTTTGGGTGGACAAGATAGTTGTCGGTTTTTGGGCGCCCCTGTCTTCGCAGAAGCAGTACATACTCCTGTTGTTTGGAAGACACCGATGGTGGCTTAGTTTACTCAGGTGACACAGGTTTCTTGGAGGCAAGGGCAGGGGGGACAGCATGTAGAAACAAGAGTTTCCAAGAATAGCAGGCCCCGGTATAGATTCCAAAGCACCAAAGCTGTTACTGTAGAAAAACTGCCCAACAAACATCCCTGTTTTCGGACATCATTGTAATCTTCCTAGTCTTCCAATGCATGCTGGGAGCCAGGACGTTTTCCAGCGCACGCTTGTACGTGTCGACCAGTGCGCGACGTGGTCGATTGGACGCACTCCCACGGACTGCAATTGGTGCTGTTCTTCAGTCAATTGAAATTGGGGGGGTCCTCAAGAATATGACTTGGCTAGCTTTTTACCACTTTGACTTTCATCTCGCGCCTCAAACTATATGGTGGTGAGGCACGCATCTGCCCATTCAGCGTCCTGAAATTCACCCGTAACTTATTTTGCCCAAGCATTTGTTCGTGCACCTTGAGGGACACGTCTGTCAAATGTCCGCACTTCACGTTACCCTTCTGCGCGCTGCTGCATGTTGTTTGAGATTACGGTATTGCGGACTACGATTCGTCAGCTCAGCTACTGTCATGAGTACCGTTGCTGTGCGCATCGCCTCCCTGTTACTCAACCTTGCTTTGCGTTCTGACTGCTTTCAAACAGTTGTCGGAGTGCCATTTTCCCGTGCGCAACCTTTAAGCGGGACCCCTTCAAGAGACCCCACTGTGACACCCCCACACACGCCAAGGATCGCCAAGGTACGCCCTAATGGAGCAAGTGGATCTTCCTAGGGGGATGTTTACTGGGTTGCTGTTTCGGAACTTGAGTTATTATATTGAGAAATTCGATTACAGGAGTTATTGCGTGCATATACCCATTATAGTAACTTAGTTTAAGTTCCTGCACAGTAACCCAGTTTGAGCATGCCATGTGAGGCTGGCTGTCGGGCTTCCTTGGTAGTAGTCGAGCCTGCTCTGGCTGAATGCAGCCCCCTGTGAGTTAGGGCTCACTCCCTAAAATCCGGTGCCAGGCTTTATGAGAATACTTGCTTGTTGTTCAGACTTCTTCCAATTCAAGGCTGAAGTGTGACCGCAATGTTAGCCCTACAATTCCTTCGGATCCTCGTGTGCAGATGTGTTCGAGAATCTCCCCTGTATTTGAAGCAACTTACCGATGTATGCACGGGGTGGGCCAGTGGATCCCTGCAATAATGTCTTCAGAATCCCGTACGATAGTGCCTACATTGTCCCCTCCATAGCCTCTCTAGCACCAGTAATACAGCGGTAAACCTTGAACCCCACACCCCGAACCGAACCCTGGAAATAGAAAAGCTTATGCCCTAAACCGTCAGCCTGAGCGGTAGGAGTGGCTCGAGGGCTGGTTCATGAAGTCACCGATGGCGCACATCAAGCGCGGAAATGCGGAAGAGTTCCCGGGAGCAAGTTGGAGTCCTTAAGTGGAACAGGAGCTGAGTATGTCAAGGACTAGGAGCCAGCAGTACTTTGATTTCGTTTTTGGTTAATGAGTCTCAGAATCGTCGAATTGCTAGGGCTACTTTCCGTTGATCATGATGACGGGCTTGCGGTCATTTTCCTTCGGCATCGTCTTTTCTAAACGTCTGGCCCTAACAAACGTTAGTATAAGGCTTGGCATTGACTGACAGACACTGCAGTGATTTTCATGTCTTGCCCCTTGGATCCTCAACACTGGCTCCAAGACAAAGCAAAACCGTTGGCCCAATGTACCAGCCTGAAGTAGTACCAACATTATTCCCTGGTACTCTATGTGACTAAAGTATAACCTTTCCCCAAGCCCTGTTCCAACTACTTAGGCTATTGCGTTGACACCTTTCCTGATGTTGCAAGGCATGACGGTGCCCTTGCACACCAGTGGAGTTCTGCGAAAAGCCCTACACCCTAAACCTTGAACCGCCAGCTCTGAAACCCAAGCTCTAAAACGCTAAGCCCCATATCGGATTGGTTGGCTTGCATGATGTTCAGAGGTTCTTCGCCTGGGCGTTCTTCAACAAGTACCCCTCGGAACTCAAGGAAGAACAAAAAAGCGAGATGAGCGCAATGCTGCAGGACGCAGGATGTAGGCCAGGGGATATAGGGGTGGGTTCCTAAAAATTGCGGTCCCTCTGCAGGTAACAAGGATTGTAGTAAAGTTGTGTCGACATTGGGGCCCCTTTTCTGCAGCGGCCACCAGACATTCAAAGACCTCTATTTTGAGAAAACCCCACGTAAGAGTTTGAGTAGCTTAATGCCCTCAACCTCCTTCACGGGTCCCCCTACCCAGCGCTTCTCCGGCATATTCTATCCGCCCTAGGCTCTCCCTTAATTAGGTTTCTTCAAAGCGAATTCAGGCCGCCAAGGGGAACCTTGGGGGGGCTAGCGGTAGAGCGAGAGGGGGTAGGAGGAATCCATGACTATGCCAAGGCATGTGAACTAGCATGGGGGGTTTCATTCCCCATTTCCGGCTGACGTCCAGTAAGATTCCGCACGTAGTCTTAAATGCTTCCCCGTACCGTATTCTAGTACCATAATGAGAGGAGTGTGTTTAAGAGAGATTAGAATGGAATTATTGCCAGCAAAGCAGAATCCGTACATGCAGCAAGTTGTAAAGGGGTAGCAGGTAGCAGGCGTATGGTCCGGGAGGACTCAGAATTCGTACAGCTCTGGCAAAACCCAATACCTATGTAGTCCCTGCATAAATGAAGCAACTTCCATCTACAAGAACCCTCAAAGTTGGATTGCAGTTTGTGAGGAATGTGAGCGCCGATACGATTGGAGCTTTGCTGAAGGCGTGGCGGGGCCATGGGTTGTTTTGGAAACCTTACATTAAGTTGTAAGTAGCTCATTTTAGCAGGCACGAGAAGGTTTTCCGGCCCATGCAGGTGGAACACAATTTGAGCAATCCCTTAATGTAGTAGATGAAGAGCAGACGACCAGTTGCGCTGCAGGGAGAAGTCTCGAGACTATATGAGCACAAAGTTAGCCCATCGAATACGATGTTTCCTTACGTGCATAATCCATTCCCTGTCGTAGAACACCAAAAATGATTCTGGGGTTCAGGCCATTTAGTGTCGGCATGTCATCCGGTGTGTCTAGCCTGCCGCATTGGACAGTCTGCACAGAGAGCCGGCAGTCAATCACCGAAACAGACAGACCCAAGCTCTGCTAGATCCTGTGCTGATCCGTTTGAGGAACTTATTGGTTCTTAGTAGGGACTAAGGGAATATAAGCCCTTCTAAGAACCAGTAAGGGAAGGCAAAGGAGCACTGTGTCTGTCACTTGTCCATCATTTTGGCAGGCTACTCTGCAGGCGTGCGGCCGATGCGGATAAATTTCGACAAGATCCAGGCGGCTAGTCGCGTACGACCCAAATTGCTTATCCTTGCCAACACTTGTTGTGCCAGGGCAGAATACTTCCGAAATAAATCCAGCTCATGGACTGAGAACATAGGGTCCCTCGTCTGGCGAATTAAACTCAACCCTAGTTGCTGATGCCGAGGTTGTTGTAACATGTAATTTAGCTAAAGCGACTGCCCTAAAGAACGAAAGCAAAAAGTGGTAGAAGTACAGATATTGATATGATCAAACCGCAACTATACAGGAGTAGCAACAACTGTTTAGGAGGGAACCCGATGACCAGTCTTCAGAAACTGCTGAGACCCGTTGACGTCTCAACTTGGAATTGGTTCTTGAGGAGAGAATGCACACAGGTATCTAGGGTAATGTAGACTCATGATTAACAAGCCCATATAAGCCCCATCCTTCTAAAGGCCTGAATAATGGGAACTCTATTATACTCCCTTTCGAGGGGAGGGGGTTTATTAGTCAGGCGTCTACATTAGTGTACTTCCCAGAACTCCGGATGGTCGTGGCAGTGCAGGCTTTCTCCTCCATCAGCAGCAGTCCAAACATACATCCACAGTCACTCTACATTGCGCAATGAGCTGATTCTTGCACAGGCTTGGTATCATCCCATGTGGTACTACGCATCTCGGATTGCACAGCAGTGTTGGCTTGTGTCTGTATCCGTGGCCTTGCATACGATTGGGAAGTACATTCACCTCGAGTTTGCTGTGCTGAGCTGTACAGCTGCTATGGGGCTAGGACATGCTGCAGTTTTGGCTGCAGTCACAGCCCTTGGATTTGTCACGTTTCTGCAAGGAGGCTCAGGAATCGTTCATCCTCGCATATCCCCTCCCCTTGTTTCGACTGTAAGGCTTGGGTCATTCCCCCCTCCAGTATGGAAGGGGGAACGACTCAAAGTAAGGCTTGCATTCTTGGACTTCGATTAGCAACTCGCTCGACGATGCAATTGCTACTTGGGTTGCAAACTTGTTTTTCAATGTGAGGGCTTTCTCAAAATAAGGGGTACTTTCTGTTGTTTGGGGTGGTCCTATAATTCATATGGATTGTAGTGCATTTGTGTCTGTTTTTAGGGTCCGCCGATTTACGAGAGCTACCATGTTGCCGATGCAGAATCATTCAGAGGAGCGAACCCCATAACTCATTTGTTCTGCCTATTCTTCCATGGGGTGGTAAGGGAAGGTTTTGCAGAATTTCCTAAAATCACTTCCGAGAGTTGCCTGGGTGTTTTGTTGTCGCTGTGGCCTTCAGCTGATCAACATCCACGTAGGCACCTCAATCCATGCCCAGCCCCCAATGTAGAAGCTTCAATGATTACCAAGATTGTGTCGTGACTGTCCTTGTAGAAGTAGAGCACAATATACACGAAACCACTATCCTGATTATATTAGGCTGCTACATTATGCCTTGAAATGCTGGAGAAGTCGGATGCAGGATGGGCTTTACCTATCATGGTGGAGAGGTATCAGGCAGGCGTCTGAGATTCACTTTAGGGCTGCTGTTATACCCTTAGACCCGTAACCCTGAAACGTACGTGAAATGTCGGTAGTAAGTAGGTTGATAGTATAGTAGGGATAACTGGAGTTCTTATGTGGCAGATAGGGGTTGTAGGGCTAAGTACCCTTGACTTGAACCTTCAAATACATTCCGACCAGCATCGCAGACAACACTATCCGGGCCTATTGCGAAAGACACCTAGAAGGGACATAACTCTTATACTTATAGATGTATATATATGTATACCCTAAACCGCATTAACACCCTCAGCTTTGGATGGTCAGCCGTGCCAGCATGTAGAAGACGGGCCTTCCCAGACCTCCAAAGGGATCTGTAAAGTCGACTCCTTGCGGTTTAGGGTTGAGGGTTTAGGTTGACACCCCCCAAGGCCCTAAGATTGTCGACGTTTGGGGTTTAGCTTTGTTTTTCAGGGTTTAGGGATAGTGCCCAGATACCCTATAACGTCACCGGCTCAGTTCCTTTTCAGGATGACGGTACTGCCTACGAACCAGCCCAGTGCAATTGGCAAGGGTGCCTGCATGTCATTGCTATGCCTTTTTTTAACATTGAAATAGTATCCCCCCCCAAAACACCGCCACCATTTAGGCCACCATCTCACTGATACAGTTCCGGCGCTTTACTAGCAAGAATTTTGGGTTACGGGGTCAAAGTCTACCGCTGCGTTTTGCTACATTTCACAAGAGGAACTATGCAAAAGGACTGTGTTTTGCTGGATTTCACCACTGGAACTACATAAAAGGACTGCGCTTTGCAACAGTTCGCAATAGGAGCTATGTGAGAGCAAACGACTTCGCAGCTATCATTCCTATCATTATCATGAATATCTTTCTTATACTTACATTCCTGCTATTACTATAATTGCAATTTTTCGACCATTAGTGTTATGACTACCTCTATTACCGTTAC